GCTCATCCCATCAAGTGCCCCCCTCAGTGCCCGTCACCCAGTCACCCCATCCCCCCGCCCACCTCCCCTTCCACTACCCCTTGTTCGTTTCCCAGAATTAGGAGTCTCTCATGTTCTGTCGCCCTCTCTGATTTTTCCCACTCATTTTCTCTCCTTTCCCCTTTATTCCCTTTTACTATTTTTTATATTCCCTGAATGAATGAAACCATATGATGAGTGTCATTCTCCGATTGACTTATCTCACTCAGCATAATACCCTCCAGTTCTACCCACATTGAAGCAAATGATGGGTATTCGTCTTTTCTAATGGCTGAGCAATATTCCATTGTCTATATACCACATCTTCTTTATCCATTCATCTTTCGATGGACACCAAGACTCCTTCCACAGTTTGGCTGTTGTGGACATTGCTGCTATAAACATCAGGGTGCAGGTGTCCTGCTGTTTCACTGCATCTGTATCTTTGGGATAAATCTCCAGCAGTGCAATTGCTGTGTCATAGGGCAGATCTATTTTTAACTCCTTGAGGAACCTCCGCACAGTTTTCCAGAGTGGCTGTACCAGTTCACATTCCCACCAACAGTGCAAGAGGGTTCCCCTTTCTCCACATCCTCTCCAGCATTTGTTGTTTCCCGTTGTGTTAATTTTCCCCATTCTCACTGGGGTGAGGTGGTATCTCATTGTGGTTTTGATTTGTATTTTCCTGATGGCAAGTGATGCGGAGCATTTTCTCATGTGCTTGTTGGCCATGTGTGTGTTTTCCTCTGTGAGATTTCTCTTCATGTCTTTTGCCCATTTCATGATTGGATTGTTTGTTTCCTTGCTGTTGAGTTTAGTAAGTTCTTTCTAGATCTTGGATACTAGCCCTTTATCTGATACGTCATTTGCAAATATCTTCTCCCATTCTGTAGGTTGTCTTTTAGTTTTGTTGACTGTATCCTTTGCTGTGCAAAAGCTTCTTATCTTGATGAAGTCCCAATAGTTCATTTTTGCTTTTGTTTCTTTTGTTTTCGTGGATGTATCTTGCAAGAAGTTACTATGGCCAAGTTCAAAAAGGGTGTTGCCTGTGTGCAGAAGCTTTTTATCTTAAGTCCCAATGATTAATTTTTGCTTTTGTTTCCCTTGCCTTCATAGATGTATCTTGCAAGAAGTTGCTGTGGAAAAGTTTAAAAATCTTTTTTTTTAAGTTTTTATTTATTCTCTCATGAGAGACACAGAGAGAGAGAGAAGTAGAAGCATAGGCAGAGGGAGAATCAGACTTCTCACAGGGAGCCCGACGTGGGCCTCGATCCTGGATCATGCCCTGAGCCGAATGTAGACACTCAACCACTGAGCCACCCAGGTGTCCCCAATAGTCTATATTTCTAACACTCTCCAAATGATGCTAATTATGCTGCTCCATATTTTATTTAGTTAACATACAGTGCAATATCGTTTCCTAGAGTAGAATTCAGTGATTCATCACTTATATACAACACCCAGTGCTCATAACAACACATGCCCTCTTTAATACCCATCACCCATCATTCCAGCCCCCCACTCACCTCCCTCCATGTACCCTCACTTTATTCTCTATCATTAAGAGTTTTTTGTGGTTTGTTTCCCTCTCTCCTTTTTTTCTTTTCCCCCTTCCCCTATGTTCATCTGTTTACCATCTTAAATTCCACATATGAGTGAAATCATGTGATCTTTGTCTTTCTCTGACTGACTTATTTCACTTAGCATAATAATCTCTAGTTCCATCCATGTTTGTTGTAAATGGCAAGATTTATTTTTTTGATGTCTGAGTAATATTCCATTATATATAATGGAGATACAGATATATAGATATAGGTATCACATCTTTTTTTTTTTAAGTAAGCCCCCTGGTGGGCATGGAGCCCAATGCAGGACTCAAATCCATGATCCTGAGATCAAGACCTGAGCCAAGACCAAGATTTGGACACTTCACCAACCGAGCCACTCAGGCACACCAACATCTTCCTTATCCATTCATTCGTTGTTGGACATTTGGGCTTTCTCTATAATTTGGCTATTGTAGATAGTGCTGCTATAAACATCAGGGATCCTATATCCCTTTGAATCTGTGTTTTTGTATCCTTTGGGTAAATACCTAATAGTTCAATTGCTGGGTCACAAGGTAGTTCTATTTTTAACTTTTTGAGGAACCTCAAAACTACTTGCCAGAGTGGCTACCCCAGTTTGCATTCCCACCAAGAGTCAAGAGGGTTCCCCTTTCTCCACATCCTTGCCAACATGTTGTTTCTTGTGTGTTTATTTGAGCCATTCTGACAGGCATGAGGTGGTATCTCATCATGGTTTGGATTTGTATTTCCCTGATGATGAGTGATGTTGAGCATCTTTTCTCTTAGCCATGTATGTACCTTCTTTGGAAAAATGTCTGTTCACGTCTTCTGCCCATTTCCTGATTATTTGTTTTTCTGGGTGTTGAGTTTCTTAAGTTTGATATGTTCTTTATAGACTTTGGATACTAACCCTTTATCAAATATGTCATTTGCAGATAAACTTGCCTACATTCTTGAATACAGTTGCTAAAGTTCTTGACTGTAAAATTGACTTCAAATTGTGACTTTTGGGAATAACCGAGTTGTCATTCCCCTGAGCTTCTTAGCCAGAGAGTTAATGTTCGGGCTGTCTAACCATAGGTGTTCTGAGAATTAGTTAGACCAGATAACTGAATAAGTGGCTGACACATGTTATAAAGTAACATGTGGAAATTCAAATGAAGAGATGCCTGGATGAGGGCATTTGAAGATCATTTGAAAGAAGCAATTGTCCTGTGACTATTTTATATTTTTAGTTCAGAATCTAGTAATACATCTAGTTATCAATGAATTTAACCATGTTCCAGGATGCAGAAACTACCTTTTCGAGTTCATTCATCTTCTTAGAAGCTGGATTTAAATCATACTCCTATAGCCTTTTTGGGCATCAGATTGTTTTATTAGACAGAATTTATAGGTAATCAGGATTTGGGCTCTAGGAAGGGCTTTGCAGCTAGGATCATGGATGAAGAATTGATAAGTATGGGCTCCTGAGTCACCCTTGTTGGAAAATTAAGACTGGGCTAGACCTTGCATTATCATCCACCAAGCAACTCAATATTAGCTAAAACCAGGAATCAGGCTGGGGAACCATAGTGAATCCTAAAAGTTTCCTTTTTTTAAAATTTTTTTTATTATTTATGATAGTCATACAGAGAGAGAGAGAGAGAGAGGCAGAGACATAGGCAGAGGGAGAAGCAGGCTCCATGCACCGGGAGCCTGATGTGGGATTCAATCCCAGGTCTCCAGGATGCGCCCTAGGCCAAAGGCAGGCGCCAAACCGCTGCGCCACCCAGGGATCCCCTCCTAAAAGTTTCCTAAAGGACAGGCAATGTTTGCTTAACTGCACTCCCTGATGTTATGAACTAGATACAGAAGCTTAGAAAAAAGTGGAATCTAAATACAGGAACATAATCTGGGCATGAGAATGGGACTTGGAACTTAGACACTGACAAAGTGTTTAAGGATCAAGATCAAAGAGGTACACAACTGTGATATATACCGGACTGAATGTTTATAAGCAGCTCTTCTAGACTGGACAAGAAAGGTGAAATCTACTTCTTTTGGGGCAGGAGTCAGCAGCAACTGATGATTTCAACTGAACACAGGGCCCTGTCAAGCTCAAGCTGTCACAGAATTGAGAGGATAAGCTCCAATCTTCTTCTCCTTCTCTCTGTCCTACTCTGTCTAGGGGAATTGTTCAGAGAGTGTTGTTCTAGGGAGGGTCTCCTTTTCTAGGTGTTCCTTCAAGCACTGGCATGATTTTCCATTCACATACTTTGGTTCCTTCTTTTTCCAGAGTTCTCTGCCCAACTGACATATGCATCTATCCCAGAGGATAATGTAAGTGCAAGTACCAAATTTACACCCAGAGTCCCTAATATTTCCTGTCTCATTTACAGCTGCTCTTCCTTTTGAAAGCAGTCACAATACCCTCCCACTTCTGAGTGAAATTGCTCTTGCAATTGTAAAATGGTTTAACTTTGGAGGGAATCAATGTTAAGCCACTTTAATGATCTTTAGATGATTTTCTTACACCTCCTTTGGGAAACAAGTGCAGTGATTGTTACAGCAAAAACTTAATTCCTGATAGCACATCACCTTGTGAGAGTGATTTGCTATCTGACTTCTTCCTACACTTGTAGCCCATGGTAATGATACTGATAAAAATAATACATGAGTTTTCTGTGTAGGCATGTTTCTAAATACTTCACATATATTCTATTTATCATTGCAAAGCCTTATAAGGTTGTTACTGTTATGAACTTACTTTATAGATAGTAAAACTGAGGTACAGAACAGTTACGTCACTTGTATAAGGTCTCATAGTTAATTAGTGGTGGAGCTGGGACGAACCTGGGCTGATACTCACCTGTGAGTGACGACCTATGCTGCTCATTCATACTCTAGGGTACAGCTATAATAAAGATCTATCCAGTTTCCTAATTCTTGTCCTTTGAGCATACTTTTCTGTAAATTTACATGTCTCTTTAGAGAAAACTTACATTTTAAAATCTTGGTTCAAATACCTCAATATTAACTCATTACTGAATCTTCCAAAATTTGTCTTTAGGACTGCCATTGCACCATCACCATGGTTTCTAATTGCTTGTCTTTACATATACATCCCACTGAAACGGGACCTTTAAAATGAGAGAGACCATGCCTTATTCCCCATTACGTTTAAAGTGACTGACATAAAACTTACAGCCTAGTGTAGAAGCTAAAAATTTATTTTCTGATTAATAGTGATAATATAACAGAATCAGTCCAATGTGAAATCTGATTAGAAGATAGAAGAAACTTCACTTATGTCTGCTCAGGTTTTGTCCTCAGGGTCTTGAGTTCACTCCCCACATAAAATTTTTAAAAAGAAACAGAAAAAACTTCACTGTCATGATTTTTCATATACTTTTTAGGAAACAGCCTTCATAAATGGGCTTGTGGAACCACAGCACCATCACCCAGTTCCTTCTCCTTGGGCTATTTACTGACCCTCATGCCCAGGCTGCACTCTTTGTGCTGTTTCTGAACATTTACCTGCTGACCATCATGGGGAACCTGCTGCTGGTGGTGGTGATCAGAGCTGACTCTCACCTCCACATGCCCATGTACTTTTTCCTCAGTCACCTCTCTTTCCTGGGCTTTTGTTTATCTTCAGTTACTGTGCCTAAGATGCTGAAAGAACTCCTAGCAGAGATAAAAACCATCTCAGTAAGGGGCTGCCTGGCTCAAGGTTTCTTTGTGTTTATCCCTGCAGGAACTGAGGGCATTCTACTCTCAGTGATGGCCTATGACCACTTTGCTGACATCTGCCATCCTCTGCTCTATGGACAGATGATGAGGAAACAACTGTGTGTACAGCTTGTGTGGGTCTCATGGGGCTTGGGTGGTTTGAATTCACTTATCAACATCCTCCTAGCTACCAGCTTGGACTTCTGTGAGAGCCATACCACCAGCCACTATAGCTGTGAGGTGCCCTCTCTCTTCCCTTTGTCCTGCTCTGATGTCTTCACCAACCTCATAGTGCTGCTCTGCTCCACTCTGCTTCATGGGCTTGGGACCTTCTTAACAATCATTTCATCCTATGCCTGCATTGTCTCCACCATCCTGAGCATCAGCTCCTCCTCAGGCAGAAGCAAAGCCTTCTCCACATGCTCCTCTCACCTCATTGTGGTGAACTTCTTCTATGGATCTGCTTTTCTCAGCTATCTGATGCCAACTTCTGGATACCCCCTAGAGTTGATCTTCTCTATACAGTATGGTGTGACCATTCCCATGCTGAATCCCCTAATCTACAGCCTGAAGAACAAGGAGGTGAAGGCAGCTGTGAGAAGGAAATTGCAACCTATTTGCCATATTCTAGGTGCAAAAGGAAAGCTAGAGGATAATATGATACCAGCCACACATTGTGTGAGCTAACTTTAATATAAAAAACTTTCTAGGTCTGTACTATGTGAGATGTTATAAGTAAGCAGTGCATAGAAAATGAACACAGAAGTATTAGAAAGGTGTTACTTTAGTCTAAATAAAAGGAAACAATGGGTTAAATAACTATCTCAATTCAGAAAATGTGGTCATAAAAGTGTTCATTCATTATTCTCATCACTCCCCAAATATTTACCTTAGTCTTTTTATTAGTAAAATATGTGTGTCTTCAATCATTAGTAATTGAGTTTAGGAAAAGGCAAAGCCATATTTTACTCTTAAGTGATGGTTCTCTATGATTGAGTAAAAACAGTAATAGACTTCAGCTATGTGGCAAGAAAATAATGAACTTGAGCTGAATGATTCTTGGATGTAGGTAAAAAAGAACTGAAGATGCTGAAGAAAGTGAGTTCATATACTGAGACAGAGGACAGACTCAAGTAAACCTTCCAAAAACCTATTGTTTCTTGCTATAATCTTTTTATAGAACCCTTAAACATGTATATGTATGTTCATATATGTGTATATATAATTTCATATATGTATAATTTCTTAGCTACATGTGTGAATGGATGTTATGATCATAACAATAATTAAAAACAAAATACTTTAGAATACATATAGGTTAACAAAGAAAGCAAACCTTCTTTTAGAAAAGTGTTCTTAATTATTCCAAACATCCTTGAATTATGTTTCCTTTGCTTATTTATTTGACAAGTAACAATGGGGGACCAGAACAGTCTACTTTGACTAAAATTCTAATAGTTAATTATAAATAAATAAATGAAAATTTTGATTTTTGTAACAGTCTATTTGTACTTAAGAATATTATAAACTTTTACACAATGCTTCCCTAAATACTCCTAAATGGGAGTATTCAAACTGTAACAGGACCAAGTAAGTATAGGCCTCTAGATGCATACCTAAAGGAAATGGATTTGGATAGACAGTTTAAGCAGAGAACTGTGCTTGTTCTATTTAGCCTTTTTACTTCTTTGATAACAAATCACTTTTACACACCAAATTTGACTAGACTTGATTTTGCCTGAGAAGTCCCAAAGAGAAGACAGAGCTCTTAGATTATCAATTGAAAACTATTCTTCCTGCTTAGGGAATCAGGCAAATACCCCTTTGGCCACTCTTTCTATTTTCAACTCCCAAGAGACTCAGAAGAGTTTAGAATTAATGATTAAAGGTCATTGCATCACCTCAATGTTCCAAAGGCCACACCTAACTGATCCCCACTCATCTTTATAAAAATCAATGTTGAAAAAATTTTTTACTACTAAGTATGACTTCAGGTTATGACCATAGAATATAAAAGGTGTTGCCCTCACCATGCCTAGCCTGCCAAGGGCAAGGAATCACACCCTCCAGAAGCCTAAACATGGCTTCTCTGTGGACTCATTAAAACCAAACAATGCTTTGTGTAACTGAGATATGATGTTAGAAACAAGAAAAACTAAGAGTATGTGAGACTCTGAAAAAAAAATCACTTTCCTGTGGCTATATAAATTTATTAGTGTAGATTCAGTAAAGCTTTTTATCATCAATAGGATTTTATAAATTTTGCCAAGACACCAGATATAGAAGTGCTTTCTCCAGGTCATCTTCCTTCTCCCTAAATCAATCTACAGCCAAGTTGGAGAACAGATTCCCCTGTTGAACAGGAAATACAGGTAACGTGCATTTAGTGTATGGGAAGGATTTTGAGGCTGGGTTTATGGCTAAGGAGTTAATAAGTAAGGAATCAGAATTTTCCCTTGGCTGATCTCTGGACTTACTGGGAATGGTCAGGACAAGGAACTGGCTGGGCAACCCTAGTAAGTCCTATGAGTGACCTAAGGTCAGACTTTAGGGTATAAGGCCAAAGCTGGAAGTCATTGGTAAACAGTGTTTTGCAAATAGAACATTGTTGTAATCCTAAAGTAGAGACTTTGAGAAACAGAAGGGACGTGAGCACATCTGGCCATGAAGTTTGAGGTATGAAAACAGAGGACAGTATCTCAGAATGAAACTTACGTTAATCTAAATATTCTATGGAGCACCTGGTTGGCTCAGCCAGTTAAGTATCTGCCTTCAGCTAAGGTGATGATCCCAGGCTCCTAGGATAGAGCCCTGCATAGGGCTCCTTGCTCATCAGGGAGCCTGCTTCTCCCTCTCCCTCTGCCCCTTCCCTTGCCTGTGCTCTCTTGCTCTTTCTCTCAATTAATTAATTAATTAATTAATTAATTGGATTAGATATTCTACTCCTGGTTTTTTTTGTAAATTTTTTATTGGAGTTCGATTTGCCAACATATAGCATAACACCCAGTGCTCATCCTGTCAAGTGCTCCCCTCAGTGCCCATCACCCAGTCACCCCAAACCTCCTCCCACCTCCCCTTCTGCTACCCCTTGTTCATTTCCCAGAGTTAGGAGTCTCTCATGGTCTGTCACCCTCTCTGATATTCCCCACTCTACTCCTGTTTTAAACAGGTCCTTGAGTATGAAGAGAGAAAAGTTAGTGAGTAGAGCCTTCCTCCTGAGGGCAGGGAGTAGCAGCTGTGGGTATTTCAAACAGAAGCTAATCCTACGGGATGAATTCCCCCAATTTCTCTTACCTATACTGCCTGGGAGCGAGATTCAGAATGCATAGTACTGGGCAGAGTCTTCTCCTGTCTGTGCTCTAGCTGGAATAGCCATTCATGTACTCCCTGGCAGGAAACCCTTTAAGACTTTCCTCTTGCTTACTTTTCTAGAGATTCCAGCCTGTTCTGGGATATACATCCATCCTAGTAATGCTCTTCATGTGGATCCAGGCGTCTACACTGAGTTCCAACCACTTTATCTCCCCTGTATCATTGCTTCTGAAGTCCTCCAGCTATGCCTATTAGTGGCAGTTACATGCCCTCCTCTCTGAGTGAAGGCACCATAGTAATTGCAAAGTAGAGAAAGACTCGCCACCAAAATAATTCTAAACTTCTAATTTGCCTTCCAACAGAGGTGATGTGCAGAGGAGGGAAGACACTGGTAGTGGTTTCAATGTGATTTCTTACATATCTCTTTGTAAAGGCATGTAAAGTAATAACAATGACAGTAACCTCAGCAGCAACAACTATGGCTTTTGGCAGTGCTTCACTGATGTGAGAATATATGTGACTTTTCCTAGACTTAAAATCTCAAATAATAGGAATAAAGAGGAGGAGGAGAAGTAATAGAAGTAGGAGTAGCAGTAGTAGTAGTAGTTAGAAGAGCTTTATATATAATTTCATATTTAATCCTAAAAGCTCTCCGTGGTACTGTTATTATCTGCCTTTAATATGCAAGGACATTAAGATAAAGAGCTGTGTGTATCTTGGGCAGAGTCATAGCTAATTAGTGGTAGACCTAAGATTTAAACTTAGTTTAATGCAAGAGCCCGAATATTTAGCCACTGTTCTCTGATGTCCACTTATTACCTATGAATCAGTTTTTCAGAACTACCCACATTTTAACTACCCATGGACTCAGCTGATTTTTCTTAGTCCTGAGCCTTTGAGTCCATTTTGATGCAAACTAAATATGTGTCAGAAACACATTTCCAAGAGCAATCATATACTTTTTTAAAATTTTTGTCAAATTTGCTCAATGTACTATCATTGACCCTTATTAAATCACAGTTTGAGCTCCCATTGCATTAATTACAGGATTATTCTGTCTTCATATCCATGTTCTTCAATGGACAATACTAAGAACAGGGACCATATTTTAATCATCTTTTTGTTTTAAGTGGTTGACACAAAGCCTAAGTCATAATAGAAAGCAAATGATATGAATAGAGAGAACCAATACAATTAAAAAAATTCTTTGGGGGGATAATAGACCTTTGGCTCCTATGCCTTTTTGTATTATTTCTAGGGAAAAGCCTTTGTAAATGGACTTGGGGAACCACAGCACCATCACGGAGTTTATCCTCCTTGGGCTCTCTGCTGACCCTCACATCCAGGTTGCACTCTTTGTTCTCTTCCTGGGGATTTACCTCCTGACTGTGATGGGGAACCTGATTATGCTGCTGGTGATCAGGACTGATTCCCACCTCCATACACCCATGTACTTCTTCCTGAGTCACCTCTCTTTTGTTGATATCTGCTTCTCTTCAGTCACTGTGCCCAAGATGCTGGAGAACCTTCTTTCTCAAAAGAAAACCATCTCAGTAGAGTGCTGCCTTACTCAAGTCTTCTTCGTGTTTGTTGCTGCAGGAACTGAAGCCTGTCTGCTCTCAGTGATGGCCTATGACCGCTATGCTGCCATCTGCCACCCACTGCTCTATGGACAGATCATGAATAAACAGCTGTATATGCAGCTTGTATGGGGATCATGGGGACTGAGCTTTCTGGATGCGCTCATCAATATCTTTCTAGCTATGAAGATGGTCTTCTGCAAAGCCCAAATCATCCCCCACTACAGCTGTGAAATGCCCTCTCTCCTCTCATTGTCCTGTTCTGATACCTCCAAAAACCTCATTGCCTTGCTCTGCTCCACTCTTCTGCATGGGCTGGGAACCTTCCTTTTGGTCTTCTTATCCTATGCCCGTATTATTGCCACCATCTTGAGCATCAGCTCCACCTCAGGCAGAAGCAAGGCCTTCTCCACCTGCTCCTCGCACCTCACTGCAGTGACTCTTTATTATGGCTCAGGTTTGCTCCGCCATCTCATGCCAAATTCAGGATCCCCCCTTGAGTTGATCTTTTCTGTGCAGTATACTGTAGTCACTCCTGTGCTAAATCCTCTCATCTACAGCCTGAAGAACAAGGAGGTGAAGGCAGCTCTGACACGAACTATGGAAAAGTATTTGCAACATATCAGGTGCTGAAATGAAAACAAAAGGTAGTAGAGAACTAGAATAAATCTGCATGCAAAAGGACATTCTGTGAGTTTACAATAGTGTGCTCCTGAGTGCTTACAACATCAGATGCTGCAACCTAAATTAGAAGTCCATGAGAGAATGACAGAAAGTAATCATAGGAAAAATAGTTCAGTTCCTTTTCAAGGCAAACAAATTATGAAATAATCACCTTAATCTAGAAAGTTTTGTTATGAACATATTGGTTCATTTTTCTCATTCCAAAACATTCACCTTAGGCTTTCATTTAGTAAAATCATTAGCTTCATCAATCTATCATTTTTTATTGACTTTTGGGAATACACATTTGAAAAGAATGTAGGGCCCTGGATCTGTAAATGAGAAAAGTTACAGGGTAAATGGCAAGAAAGATAAAGAATTACAACTGGGTGACCATAGAAGACAGGCATGGAAAGCTGAAGTTCTTCAGGGAAACAATAAACATTGAGACAGAGCTCAGACTCATAAAATTTTCAAGAACTTTTCTGTATGTGTGGGGTGGTAGCCAGATCTCCAGTGGGAGAGGCTGCAAGGGGCTCTGGATCTCTAAAAACCTTATTTCTCACATAGTCTTCACTCAGACTTGTATTTTCTACAATTAGCTGAGCTTACCTGTCCATGTTCTTTTTCTTGTAGAGTTGCAGGCTATGAGCTCTAGGCAAATAATCTGGTTTTCTTTTTAAAGATTTTATTTATTTATTCATAAGAGACACAGAGAGTGAGAGGTAGAGACACAGGCAGAGGGAGAAGCAGGCTCCATGCAGGGAGCCCGATGTGGGACTCGATCCCAGGACTCCAGGATCACGCCCTAGGCCAAAGGCAGGCACTAAACCACTGAGCCACCCAGGGATCCCCTAATCGGGTTTTCATCTCAACACAAGTGAATCCTAAAGGGTCCTTGCCTCTCATCTTTCAGCTGTCAATCAACTGGTCACTGCTCATGAGCCAGTGGTTGGTGAGCTTTAAGGCACTACATCACTCCCACATAATTTATTTTTACCTATAAAACATAAATCCAGGGCACCTGGATGGCTCAGTGGTTGAGCATCTGCCTTTGGGTCAGGTCATGATCCTGGGGTCCAGGGATCAAGTCCTGCATTAGGCTCTCCCAGGAAGACTGCTTCTCTCTCTGCCTGTGTCTCTGCCTCTCTGTGTGTGTCTCTCATTAATAAATAAGTAAAATTTAAAAAAAAAAAACATAAACCCATTTTCACATTGCTTCTGATTTGTTCAATCTATATTTTACTATTATCTAATTCACTGTAGTTAAATAAAAAGGGGCAAAACTAAGTACAAACTATTCATTTAATTCACTTAATATTAGCTTGCACTTTGGGGGTACCTGGGTGGCTCAGTCACTTGAGCACCCTACTCTTGATTTTGGCTCAGGTCATGATCTTGGGGCATGAGATCAAACCCTGCATTGGACTCCATGCTGGGAGCATGTGATTCTCTCTCCCTCTCCCTTTGCCCCTCCCCCCACTGCATACATGCTCTCTCTCTTCCTCTCTCTAAAAAAGACAAACAAAATTAGCTTGCACTTTCCTCAAGCTTCTTTCACAAACTCACCTTGTTCCAGCTGTCAGTTTTAAAGGCTTTTCAACCTCATCTGGCCATCGATAACTCACAGACAGGACCACTTCTCATTTGATATACCAGAAAAGTCTAAACGCTTTATCTCCCACCACAAACAATAGGATATTCAAGGCCTTCTTTGGATTCTGTGACCTAAGGTGAAGCACCAGCAAACCCTCTAATGTCAAGCTTCCTATGGTGAAGGAGAGTGAAAGGTACTTGGGGTGACGACTGGTTGTAGTCAGTGCACAGATGTCACAGAATGGCAGTGATTGAGAGAAAGATACCAACAGACTCAGTGAAATTCCCTTCAGAGTAAGCAAAAGATAAGAAATCGTAACTGCATGAGACATCCCTTCAAATCTCAAAGGCTCAGCAATTGCCCTTTTGGAGGGGCAGTGCCCTGGAACTTTGATGCCCATGGCATTACGCTGCTGACTGATCAGTGAAGGGATCCTCTCTAGGCCTTAGAGAAGCTCTTCTAACCATTCCCTCAGGGCTTTTGTGCTCTTCTGCCCTGCAGAAATTCGAGGATATTGGCATATCGTGCATATTGGCCTTCCCAAGAGGCATAAATAACTGGTAACAATCCTAGTATATGCCTGAGTGCTTTTTGCTGAAAGTTGGGTTTATGGGAAAATTCTCAATATTAATTTCCTAGGAACACCATTTCCTAAGCAGGCCAGAAGTCTCTGCCTATAAGACAGGTAACAAAAAAAGCAGCAATATTCCAGAGAGGAAGACTTGCAGTGTGACAATTCATGCTGTTTTTCAGTTTTGCCCTAGCTTCATCATGTTCTTTACTTTTTTTACTTAAAACCTTTGCAATCTATTCTATAACTTTTATCACTTTGTCTTTATGAAAAATATCTCACCAAAAAATGTACAAAACATATACATACTAGTTAAAGAATGATTATGAAGTGAATACATACATACCCACTGCTCTGCTTAAGAAATTATTCATTTAAAAAAAAGAAATTATTCATTTTACCATCTCTTCTTCACTCACCAAAACTGAGTACTGCTCTGAATTTGATTTTCTTTTGTTTTCTTTGTATAATTTAGTTTTGCCTGCTTCTGACCTTTAAAAATAGAATTATGATATATGTATTGTTGTGGTTTGCCTCTCTTCATCCATAGGAGGTTATCATCAATCAGAGCCCTGGTTTTAGCACTCAGCTGTGATATGTCTTAGAACTGATAGCTTAGGCTGCTGCTTGCTTTAGTAAGGGATTCTATACACTATGGCCTAAGATGGAAGTTTTCAGATTTGGTCCCTAACCAACACTTCCCTCAGGTTAGGGGTTTAGAGACCAAATGTACCTTCTGACACGACCTGCACTGGAGTGTAGAACTGAAATGATGACGTAGATAATTCAGCAGTAAATTTCAACAGTTTAGAAGAATTAACTATTTTTCTTCTGATATTGTAGCAGAATCAGTAAATCCAGAGACAGAAAGCAGATTGGTAGTTGCCTGAGATTGTACAGAAGGAAAGAATGGAAAGTTGTTGCTTAATGTGTAGGAGGTTTTCTTTTGAGCTGTTGAAAATGCTTTGGCTCTAAAGAAAGGTAGTGGGATGGGCAGCCCCAGTGGCCCGGCAGTTTAGTGAGCCTTCAGCCCGGGGTGTCCTCCCAGAGACCGGGGATCAGGTCCTACGTCGGGTCCCACGTCGGGCTCCCTGCATGGAGCCTGCTTCTCTCTCTCTCTCTCTCTCTCTCTCTCTCTCTCTCTCTCTTTCTCTCTCTGTCATGAATAAGTGGATGAAATATTAAAAACACACACATAGTGGTTACACAGCTTTGTGAATATACTAAACGGCACTGAATTGTATACTTTATTTTTTAAGTTTTTATTTAAATTCCAGTTAACATATAGTGTAATATTAGTTTTCATTTGTACAATTTAGTAATTCAACACTTCCATACCAACCTTCTGCTCATCACAAGTGCCTTCCTGAATTCCCATCAGGCATTTAATCCATCCGCCACCCACTTCCCCTCTGGTAACCATCAGTTTGTTCTCTGTAGTTAAAAGTCTATTTCTTGGTTTGCCTTTCTCTTTTTTTCCCTGTGCTAATTTATTTTGCTTTTTAAATTCCACATATATGAGTAAAATTATATGGTATTTGTCCTTCTCTGAGTGACTTATTTCACTTACCATAATATATTCTAGCTTTATCCACATTATTGCAAATGGGAAGATTTCATTCCTTTTTATAGCTGACTAATATTCCAGTGTGTGCTATTTGCTTCGAAGTGAAGGGCTCTGGAGGGTATTCTGCTGAGTGAAATAAGTCCATCGGAAAAGGACAAACATTATATGGTCTCATTCATTTGGGGAATATAAAAATTAGTGAAAGGAAATAAAGGGAAAGGAGAAAAAAATGAGTGAAAATATCAGTGAGGGTGACAAAACATGAGAGACACCTAACTCTGGGAAATGAACAAGGGGTAGTGGAAGGGGAAGTGGGCGGGAGGTTGGGGTGATTGGGTGATGGGCACTGAGGGGAGCACTTGGCAGGATGAGCACTGAGTGTTATGCTATATGTTGGCAAATTGAATTCCAATAAAAAAATGAAAAAGAATAAAGATTGTCCTTCAGGGCAGCCCAGGTGGCTTGGTGGTTTAGCACCGCCTTCAGCCCAGGGCCTGACCCTGGAGACCTGGGATTGAGTCCCACATCAAGCTCCCTGCATGGAGCCTGCTTCTCCCTCTGCCTGTGTCTTTGCCTGTCTGTGTCTATCATGAATAAATAAAATCTTTAAAAAAAATATTCCAGTGAGTGTGTGTGTGTGTGTGTGTATATCACATATTTTATCCATTCATCAATCAGTGGACATTTGGATTTTCCATAATTTGGCCATTGTAGATAATGCTGCTATAAACATCCAGGGAGCATGTAGCCCTTCAAATTGGTATTTTTATATTTTATTTAGTAGAATTGCACTATAGTAGTGGATTGCTGGGTTTTTAAAGTTTTGAAGAGCCTTCATACTGTTTTCTAGAGTCGCTGCACCAGCTTGCATTCCCACCAACAGAATAAGAGGGTTCCCCTTTCTCCATATCCTCAGCAACACCTTTTGTTTCTTATGTTGTTGATTATAGTCATTTGGACAGGTGTGAAGTGATATCTCACTGTAGTTTTGATTCGTGTTTCCCTGATAATGAATAATGTTAAGCATCGTTTCATGTTTCTGGTGGCCATCAGTATGTCTTCTTTGGAAAAAATGTCTATTCATATCTTCTTCCTGTTTTTTAATTGGATTATTTGTTTGAGGGGTGTTGAGTTTTATAAGTTCTTTATATATTTTGGATACTAACCCTTTATCAGATATGTCATTTGCAATTATCTTCTTCCATTCTGAAAGTTGCCTTTTAATTTTGTTGGTT